TTCCACAGTGCAGCAAGTGCCAGAGGTAGAAATCAAACCCAGGCCCCTCTTGACCCAAAAGTCCAGCACTCTTTCTACATATGCTTTGATACCCCAACATATGATGCCAAAAATTATTTTGGTCTAAACCCCTGGTTTCATTTTTTTGGGGGAACTTCTTGGTAAGGAAATTCCCTCTGCCATTGGAGATAAGCAACAGTCCTACAATTTATAGTCTTAGTTGCCTGGGACACTGAGGGGTTAAGTGATTTGTCCAGAGTAACACACTCAGCATGAATCAGAGATGGGACTTGAAATCAAGTTCTGACTCCAAGATTGACTTTTATCCACTATCCAGAGGTTTTTAACCTGGGGTCTGTGAAATGGGGTTTTAAAAAAAAATACGTTGACAACCGTATTTTAATACATTTGGTTTCTTTTGTACTCCTATAGATTTTATTTTATGTCTGTGAATTTAAAAAAAAATCATTTTGAGAAGGGGTCCATAAGCTTCACCAGACTGACAAAGGGGAAGAAAACATATGTCCCAGGCAAACTGATCCTCAAAACAACACGGGGTGCTATTATTATTCCCATTTTACAGTTGAAGGGACTGAGGCAAACAGAGATTAAGTGACTTGCCCCGGGTCATACAACTATTAAGTGTTTGAAGCTGTACTTGGACTGAGGTCTTCCTGGCTCAATACTCTCTCCACTCAACAATTTAGGTGCCCAAAGGGCTCCATGGAGAGGGAGAGGGGAAGTTAAGAACCCCTGAACAATGCCATGCTGCCAACATAAGTAAGCCTAATTTCCTCATCCCCCCTTCTTCCCATGTCCCAAATGTGTGTATAAAAAAAGAAAATAACTTAATGATTTTCATACCTGTCCATTATTAAGCACCTTCTATGTGCCAGGCACTGTGCTAAACTCTGGGGATACAAAAAGAGACAAAAGACAATCTCTGCCCTCAAGGAGTTCACAATCTAATGGAGAAAACCACATACACACACTATTCAGGAGGAATAGGAAATAATTAACAGAAAGAAGATTATAAAATTAAGAGAAGTTGGGAAAGACTTCCTGTAAAAGATGAGATTTTAGTTGGGAAAGGAAGCTGGGAAAGCCAAAATGGAAAACCATTCTGTAAGAATAATTTCTCTTTATATTGGAGGCTTTAATGCTTGAGGGAAAAAAAGCATTTAATTACTCTGTTAAATATTTAAAGCCATTCGGCTCTAGTTTTTCTTTCCAGACTTAATACACATTTCTCCCCTTTACATATTCGCCAAAGAAGCTTACCTGCTGCTCTTCCTTCATGACATTCCATCTCTCATCCCTCTGCTTTTGCACAGGCTATTGCCCATGCCTGCAATGCACTCCTTCCTCACGTCAGCATCTTAATCCTCAGCTTCCTCCAAAGGTAGGTCAAGCACTAACTCCTATATGAGGCCTTTCTTGAACTCCTCAACATGTGCTACTTTCCACAAATTTCCTCAAATTTTTATCATATGTATTCTGTATTTAATATGTATATATAAACACATACACTATATGTATAGATGTATGTATATATATATATATATAATATGTATAAAATTTGTTATTTTCTCATATAAAATATAAACTCCTTGAGGATTGCTACTAGGTTGTTTTGGTTTTTTTTTTGGTCTTTATATCCCCAATAACTAAAACACTGCCTGGCACACAGCAGATGCTTAATAATTGCTTATTGATTATCTCTTGCTCCAGATTTCTCTCCATCCTATGCCAACTAAAAGTGTTATTTTTTTTTTCACGAAACAGTAAATGGCTGATAGCTAAAGCAGAATATAGATTGACTTTTCTTTCTTTCCCTCCCATCACACACTCCATTCCCAAGGACAGTATTGTATTTCGTACTTGGCAGCCCTATTGGTAGAATTAAAAAAAAATAAAAAATAAAAAACAAACAAACAAAAAAAGTCACTCCAAGAAAACACTGTATCTTGTGAGAGTCTTTATATTGAGATTGAGATTGAGATAAATGATTAATTTTTTAAAGGGCATTTTAACATCTGAACATTTTATAAGTGTTTAAAACAACTACCAGTAACCTCAGATTAAAAGGAAAATATTCCATCTATATGAACTAAGAAATAATCTACCAGTGCATTACAAAACCTTCCCATTCCAAAGGCATTAATACATGTACATATCAAGAAAATGCACCTGTACTAAATTAGATATACAAATGAAAGTATAAAATTAAGTGTGATTGAAGTGATTCCCAGAAGGACTTCCTGGAAGTACTGATCTGGAAAGCATAGGCATGAGGGTTATAGAAATTGCCACAGTGGGAAATGAAATAACAGCAAGGCTGGTATCCTAATGTGCATAAAAATGAACAAAAAGAAAGATAGTGAAAATGGTAATTATGTTTCAATTTTTTCTTACCTCACCTCATTCCCCTGACAGAAGCAACTGAAAAGAATTGTGCCTTTCCCACTACATTAAAAACCAACTTGAGGTAGCTACTGCAGTACAGTAACTGGAAATTTGATATATGCCCTTCTAGTAATGTAAGGGAGAGCACAATAGGATTAAAATAGTAGCTTCAGTCTTACACATTTTAAGGTCTGGGTAACTACTGTAACAATTCCATATAGTTTAATTGAAACGAAACTCCCTTTTCAAAAGAGTAAGATGAATTTAACATATGGCAGATGGGAACACCCTTTTCAGGCAAGCATTTTTCTCTTTCTTTCTTCCTTCCTTCCTTCCTTTCTTTCTCTTTCTTTCTCTTTCTCTTTCTTTCTTTCTTTCTTTCTTTCTTTCTTTCTTTCTTTCTTTCTTTCTTTCTTTCTTTCTTT